ACCTCTTTTTCGAACTTGACTCATAATTGATACAACAATAGTTAATAAAAATGAACACGCTACCACCCCTGTCTAAATGATTGGATTTTTCTGTATCCTTGGAAACAAAAAAATTATGAATTGTATGTGCGTTTAAAACTCTGTGTAAATTTAAAAATAAGTTATTCCAAAATTTGCTTGAATATGAAACGAAGCTAATTCTCTTAATTTAATTATAATATTAAATTTTAAGTTTTAGCTTCCAATTTTGAAACATGGTAATTCCTGTGTAGCGAACGAACCGTATTTTAAATCAGTTAATTTATAATACACACACACACACACACACACACACACACACACACACACACACATATATATATATATATATATATATATATATATATATAGAGAGAGAGAGAGAGAGGATTTGAAAAGATCTGGATGAGTCTAATGGTGATTACGAAGGTGTCTGGAGTGATCATAAGTGATGGCGACGTTATGCCTTTATGTTCCCAAACACCGATACCTACATCGAGTATCTTGGGGAGGTAGTGCTACCATGGGTCAAGCGGGTGGCTGCTGGAAGATCCTATGTCTAGCAACAGAACTCTGCCCCATAGCATTGCAAGCAGGAGAATGGATGTCAGACAATTTCTGCAACCACATCACCTTTACATCTGGCCACCTAACTCTCCAGACTCTAAACTCTCTTGATTATTATGTGTAGGGCACAGTTGAGCGAGAGGCCAACAAAATTCCTTGTAAAGCTAATAATGCACTGAAAGCAAGGATTATGGCAGCAATCACCAACTTAAACAAAAAGATCGTCTAGAAGAGTTGCAGGAGATTTCGAAGTCGTCTGGAGGCCGTAATTGAAGCCAATGGCGATTTTATTGTATAAATTGTGTTTTTTTGTGTAATTTCGGTAAATATATCTGTGACAATGAAATGTCAGTGTTATTCCCATTTTTGCGTTATTTAGACATATACAGTCCGACTTCAGAGTTTCGTAGACTAACCATTTTGCAATCATTCCATCCACTCGTCAGGAGGTAATAGTAATTGTCTGCCGATTTTCCTATTTGTGTTAATTTTATATTAAGTTAAAAATAATTTATGTGGTTTATATTGATGTACATTGAGATTTTCCTCTTTGTGCATGCGTGTGCGTACACGTGTGTATGTGTGTGCGCATTTAGGCCAGAAAGTGTATGTATGTGCACATGTGTCGAATGTCGTGCTTATTTCTTCTTTTCCAAATTTAATTTTCTCTCTTTTTAATCCCTCGCTATTTTATTTTCTGTCTCTTTCGTCTATATTTGTGAATAGTATATATCTATATCTCTCTCTATATATTTCCTATATATATATATATATATATATATATATATATATATATATATATATATATATATATATATGTGTGTGTGTGTGTGTGTGTGTGTGAGTGTGTGTGTGGGGGGGCTTAGTGGATGAAGAATTTGGTTTTTACTCAATATCACTCATGATTACGTTACAAATTCTTTCATGATCTGTCCATATCTATCTATCTATCTATCTATCTATCTATCTATCTATCTATCTTCTATCTATCTATGTATATATGTATGTATGTATCCATGTCATTCTATCTTTATCTATCTATCTATCTATCTATCTATCTATCTATCTATCTATCTATCTAATTCTTTCCTTATCTATCTGTTACAGTCGGTTAATATCTATCTATCTATCTATCTATCTATCTATCTATCTATCTATCTATCTATCTATATCCATGTCATTCTGTTCTTATCTATCTATCTATCTATCTATCTATCTATCTATCTATCTATCTATCTATCTATCTCCCTGTCATTCGATCCTTATCTATCGATCTATCTATCTATCTATCTATCTATCTATCTATCTATCTATCTATCTATCTATCTATATATATATATATATATATATATATCCATGTCATTCTGTTCTTATCTATCTATCTATCTATCTATCTATCTATCTATCTATATATATATATATATATATATATATATATATATATATATATATATATATATATATATCCCTGTCATTCGATCCTTATCTATCTATCTATCTATCTATCTATCTATCTATCTATCTCATTCTGTCCTTATTCTATCTATCTGTTACAGTCGGTTAATATCTATCTATCTATCTATCTATCTATCTATCTATCTATCTATCTATCTATCTATCTATCCCTGTCATTCGATCCTTATCTATCTATCTATCTATCTATCTATCTATCTATCTATCTATCTATCTATCTAACGTAGTTTCATTTTCTTAACCGACTATAAAATCGCCCGTAGTTCTTTCCAAGTACATCCAGATAAATATATGGCAGAGAAAGAAGAATAGTCAAGAATAAAAGCGATGTGTACAAAACTATTATAGAACAAAATATCGTTTAAAGGGAAATATTTCTTTAAAAAATGATAGTAAAACTAACTGGGGTGGTGGCGGGCGAGTGTGATAGCTTACTCTAAGTTTAAACAGAGAAGTAGGCGAAAGAGAGAATCGCCCGTGGACCAGAATGGTTTAATCCGTAATTCATTCATTCTTTTATTCTTTCAAGCGCTCTATTTTATCAGCTCTTTTCCTTTCTTTATTGCGCCATTCTTTTCTTCTTCTTTTTCCTTCTTACTTTCTTTCTCTTTTCTTATTTTATTTTTATCTCGCCGTTTGTTTGAACGCAGGTAAGTATGGTTTATGTACGAGGTAAATAAATTTCAACAATGGGGTCAGCATCTAAACGTACGTAATTTAGACAACAGAGGAAAAGTAACGCCGTCACTCCCCTTAAAAAAAAAACGGGGAGGAAAAATTAACCTTTCCTCTCAGAAACAGAAAGAGATTCCTTGAAGACAGCTTAGGGGCGGAGTTGAAAGAAGATTTCGCATCTAAAAAGACAACGGAGGGAAGAGAAAATAAAATTATTTAATGGCTGTGTATATGCACGAGCAAAGAGTAATTCAGTTGGGGGTATTTTTTTTTTTATTATTATTCGTAAATGCATTTGAAAGCATACGTTTTTAATGTTTGAGTGTATGCGTCAATAAGGATATTTGTAAAATGTGTGCCTGCATCTATGCATTTTAAGACATATGTCTGAAGATGCTTTTTTAGTGCATATACTTATCTGTGAGTGAAAGATCGTCAACCGACTATAAAAGTCGATGTGTTCCAATCTGCGCATTCTAGACATTGAGAAATATTTTTGTGAAAAATGTGTGTATCTGTTTATCTTTCTATAATTGCGTTCGGAAAAATATGCGTCAGTGTCTTACATTTTATTCCCATATGTGTACACACACACATATATATATATATATATATATATATATATATATATATATATATATATATATATATATATATATATATATATATACTGGGATCATTTTTTTCGAGATGTAGATAAAATTATTCGCAGGAGTAAATTTTAGGTTTAATGTCAGATATGTGGTTAAAAAGTAGTTTTGACTGCGTATAGATCTGCATTTACACGGATAAGCGTGCGAGTATTCATTTGAAATGTGTTTGAAAAGCTTACAAGAAAGAAAGAGTTGACTATGGAAAAAGAAAGAAAGAAAGAAAGAAAGGCGGAAAAAAGGAAAGAAAGGAGGAAAGATTGAAATAGAAAAGAGAAAGAGAAAAGAAAGAAAGAGAATAGAAAGCAAAAGAAGAGAGAGTAAGCGAAGAGATAGAAAAAGAAGAGAAAGAAAAAGGAGAAGAGATAGAAGAAGAAAAGGCAGAAAATGAAAGAGAAGAAAAGAAAAAGAAGGGAGAGAAAGAGAAGAGAAAGACAAAGAGAAAGAAATGGAAAAGAAAGAAAGAGAAGGGAAAGAAAAAGAGAAAGAAAGGGAAAAGAAAGAAAGAGAAGAGGAAGAAAGAGAAAGAAGGGGAAAAGAAAGAAAGAGAAGAGGAAAAAAGAGAAAGAAAGGGAAAAGAAAGAAAGAGAAGAGAACGACAAAGAGAAAGAAAGGGAAATAAAAAAGAGAAGAGAAAGAAAAAGAGAAGGAAAGGAAACGAAAGAAAGAGAAGAGAAAGAAAAAGAGAAAGAAAGTTAAAAGAAAGAAAGAGAAGGGAAAAAAGAGAAAGAAAGGGGAAAGAAAGAAAGAGAAGAAAAAGAAAAAGAGAAAGGAAGGGTAAAGAAAGAAAGAGAAAAGAAAAAAGAGAAAGGAAGGGGAAAGAAAGAAAGAAAGAAAAGAGAAAGAAAAAGTGAAAGAAAGGGAAAAGAAAGAAAGAGAAGAGAAAGAAAGAGAGAAAGGAAGGGAAAAGATATATATATATATATATATATATATATATATATATATAGAGAGAGAGAGAGAGAGAGAAGAGCAAGAAAGAGAAATTGAGAGAATGTAGCAGAATAAGAGAAACGAATGAAAGAAAGGGAAAGTAAAGAATAAATAATGGTAGAAAGAAAAGAAGAGAAAAAAAGAAAAAGAGAATAACTGAGATAAAGAAAGAGAAAAGAAAGAAAGAAAAAAGAGTGAAAAAACAAACCAAGAGCCAGAAAGGTAGAGTAAGGAAAAGTTAGAAAGAAAGGAAAATATATTTGATAAATGTGGATGACATGTTTTTTTACCTCTTTTTTTTTTTGCGTGTGGACAAATAAGATTTTTATATCACTGCGGCTGCTGAGGTACAAAACCATTTCTTTTCCATTAAAGATTTCGCTCTTATTTTTCTAGAATTATTCAGAAATTTCAAATCGGAACTAATTTTAGAATTAATCATGTTCAATACAAGGCCATGAGCTTAAACGAGTCTCTGTTCTAAAAGACACACTAAAATATCCCGACAGGCAATAATTTTAAACCCGCATGTTTAGCATTGTCCTCTACTATATGTCGTGCCTTTTCAGAACGTTGGCGATTACGGCTCTCCAAATTTCCTATCCTTTGATGTACTTACTAAGGTTTGTCTTTTACTGTTTCTCATAACCCTTGTTCTGCTGATCATTTATACACGCCTGTTCGTTCGGTTAGTCACTGCTTTCCTATGTCTCTCTTGCTATCAAGATGTTTTTGTTACATCTTTCTTGATAACACTTCTGTAGTCACAAAGAAGGTTGGTTTGGTTTATTTTGCTTTACGGTATATCAACCTCAATGGGTTATTTAATGCCAAGAACATTTTTAGGATACATTCGTATGAATAGAGTATGTATTCTTTGGTTTAGATTGGTTTGGTTTATTTTGTTTTACGGCATATCAACCTCAATGGGTTATTTAATGCCGACAACATTTTTAGGATAGATTCGTATGAATAGAATATGTATTCTTTGGTTTCGATTGGTTTTGTTTATTTTGTTTTACGGCATATGAACCTCAATGGGTTATTTAATGCTGACAAATTTTATTGCTGGTAATAATGTTTTTCAAAAAATTATTGCTGGTAATAGTTAACTCTTTGCCCATAGCTGGGACCCTAACAGGGGCTACCACCCCGGGTCAGGGTGGACCTGGGAACACCAGCAATTAAGAGGTGGTTCCACGCTCCTCAAAACCTTCTGATTAGAGGCCTTGCTGCTGGACGTAGTTTAACGTCTTACCCAGGATGCTCACATTGTGGGATATTAAAAAAAAACAATAGCGATAAAAACAAAAACGGAAACTGAATGAGATCGGCTGAGTTGTACGTCCAGACCCGTCGGGCAGAAATATAATTCAAATTTTTATCTAGGAGAAAAAGAAATGAATATTTTAAAAGACAAAACCTTAAGAGGTTAGCGTTCTCACGTCTTTATCTTTGATTCTCGGTGTAGAATTATAACAGACGTTTCGGTTTATATCGGAACCCCTCACATATCTATCAATAAGAAGAACACTTTAGCCCGATGTCGCCCTTTTCGAGGATAAAACGAGTTACCCAGAGTAGCTTCACTTTGTCATATTCCTAAAACAAACACACACAAGTCCTGGGTATGACGATAAACTACACCCGGCAGCAAGGCCTGTGATCGAAATATTGAAGGTTTTGATGAGCGTCGAACCACCTTATAATCGCAGTTTTTCCCAAGTCCACCATGAGGCGGGGTGGTAGCACCTGTTAGGGTCCCGGCTATGGGCAAACAGTAAACCCGAAAATAAAACACGATGAAATTATAAAAATACATTCTCATAGTAAAAATACCAGCAATATATTTTTATGTAAAAAAATGGAAATGACCAGCAATACATTTTAGTTGAAAGCATAAAACCCCGTTAAAATTTATTTAGTTGAAGCAATAAAATTGTTCAAATTATTTCCATTTAATAAAATTTATATTAAATAATCCATAGAGGTTGATATGCCACTGAAGGAACTCAGACAACCAACATGAAAGAAGTCTTTTATTATAGTAAGCTATATAATAACCTCGAATTTCTTAAACCAAATTGTATCCCAAAATATAAGTTCAACAAAACTACAGTATAAAACACATTATCGATTCTAACAGTTATGTTAAAAAAATACGTATATGTATATGCACAAAAGCTGAGTATCATCTACCATGTATTCAACTGTGAAAGCATAATAATCTATCCTATATTTATTACTTCAAATCTCCCTAGAAAATTAAATTTCGACACAAAATGACTTGATATGCCGTTAAACAAATCAATCAAGAAACACACATGCATTTATATATATATATATATATATATATATATATATATATATATATATATATATAGGTTGGATTGATGTGAGTTTGTGATCCTCACATCAATCCAACCAAATATGTTAGCTCTATCTTTGATATTGAGCGCTTTCTAATAAGTACCGCGCATATAATATATAAATAATTATATATATATATATATATATATATATATATACACTTTTCACACACACACACACACACACACACACACACACACACACATATATATATATATATATATATGTGTGTGTGTATGTGAAAAGTGTATATATATATATATAATATTAGTGGTCAATATATATATATATAATATTAGTGGTCAATATATATATATATATATATATATATATATATATATATATATATATATAATAATTTAGAGAGAAACTGTTTCGCAGCTCATCAATGTGACTAGGCGTCCAGTTGCCCCTAGCTAGAATCGAAACCTGGAGATTCTACCCCTAAGATGTTGGCGCACGGCAGGGATGAAGGTGAATTTAAGTGTATTTATTTTTAGATAAACACACAGAGATTGAGAGAACTCGATTCGTTTTACCGAAGAGTCTTGCAGTATTAGCAGTAATAGTCACTGTTTACAAGCTCACAATTCCTCCTCCGAGAGCTCAACGGAAATAAATTTTTTACGAGCATATATAATTGTCGTCCATAGACAGATTGTTTCGTTGTATCACAACTCATCAGTGTGGCTAGACGTCCAGTTGTCTCTAGCTAGGATTGAAAGAGACGGAGAGAGAGAGAGAGAGAGAGAGACAGACAGACAGACAGACAGACAGACAGAGACAGAGAGAGGGTGAGATTAGGCAGTATCAT